AGCCATTCTTACAATTGGGTTTTAAAATTAGCTGGGAAGGAAATGGGAAGGAAAAGCAAAGAGCAAAGGGTTGTGGCCATCCTAGACAGATGCAGGATTTAAAAAGGATACGAGGCAGCTCCCTCTGCCTACACTGCTCGGTGCGAAGGTGGCACTCGGGGGACGAGGGCTGTGAGGATGCAGCCGTGAGAGAGGTTTGGGGCTGTCCCTGCAACCGTTCTCCCGACTGCGGCTGTCAGTCGTCCGATTGCCCGTCCCTGCTCTGCTGCAGGCTCTTGGCCCACGGTGTGCGACCCTGGGTGCAGGGTCTGTAGACACAGGAGGGGGTGGAAGCCCCCCGATAGCCCCGATTTTTGTCCCCGAGTGCTCGATTTCGGTGCGGGGGTTTGCTGCCATCTCCTGGGTACCAGCAGCACCACTGAGCCAGGCCCAGACTGGCCATGCTGGAGCACTGCAGGGACCAAACCCAGGGCCACCATCCGTCCCCGGAGAGCCGACCCCATATCCCTGCAGCAGCCGGGCCATTTTGAGCCCAGCTCTGGCTGCGAAACCAGATGGGTCCCAGGCCGGACCACGGCAGCACCCCACCTCGTTTTATTTCTCCTCCTGGAATCTCTTTCCTCCCCCTCCCGCAGATGCTACAACTGCGGCGGGCTGGACCACCATGCCAAAGAGCGCAAGCTCCGCTTTGGCAAGGCAACGGGCAGCTGCGGGGGCTCGGAGGAGGGAGGGCAGGGTGAAGGACTGGGGAGGGAAGGCAGCAGTGCGAACGGCGGGGACCCGGTGTCTCTGCACAGACCTTTTCCTGCTCTTCCCAGCCTGGGAAAAGCCCTGCTTGAATCAGGATGGCTCGTTCCAGAAACAGGGGGAGGCAGCACCCAACCCACCTCTTCCAGCTAAAAAAAAACCCCCATATTTGATTCATCTTTATTCTTTTCCTAAACAAAGCCAGGCAGTAGCGTCTCTGGGAGGAGGAGCAGAGAAGCAACATCTCAGGGAGGAGCTCATGGCTCCTTGTTCTCCTGAGCTCCAAACAGGCTTTTGCAGAGCTTGGATGAGCTGCAGGGGACCCGCTCCTACACCCGCCCGGGCCCTCCCTGCCCCAGGGTGGCCGGGGGGGGAAGGGTGGCTGCAGAGAGCCAGGGAGATGCCCGCGGGCCGGCCCCACGGGTCCCTCTGCTTCTTGTGGCTTCTCACTTGCAGGTCGGTGCGAGGATTTGCGGTTTTTCCGTGGTCACCCCATTGCTCAAACCAGCAGAGCCCGGATTTGGGCTCAGTCTGGAAGAAAATGGGCCATCTCTCGGGGCTGGGCTAACACTTGTTGCCTGCTCATGGGCTGCAAGCTGTGGCCTGGGGGAGATCAAGGCAGAAGAAAACCACTTTTTTTTCCCCCCTAAGCCTTCCCAAGTGCCAGCCCAGAGAGCGCGAGGTGCTGTTTGCAGCCAGCTCTTCCCCTCTAAGGCTTCTCCCTACCTCCGACGTGCGGAGCTGGGGAGCGGGAGGGCTGCAGGGAGCAGAAATGCTCCTCGTTAAGCCTTGGGCACCGGACACGGGGCAGAGCCGGCTCCCGGGGGGTGTTGCTGGCAGCGTTTCCCCTGGAGGCCACGTACGCAACCCAGCCGGGGCTCACGCAGACCCAGACACCAGACTGCCTGGATCAAACCCGCGCAGCACAAAACTGCCCCTCTGCTCCTTCCACCCATCCCACGCTCCAGAAACCGCTGGCTCCTGGGCTGAGCCTCCCCAGGGCCAGAGGAAAAGGGTGCCCCAGTCGTTAGCGGCCGCTGTCCTTCCGCCCCACCGGCCCCCCCAAGTCTTGCCTTTATTTATTGGCCCCGGTGGACAGCCCTCCTCCCGGGGCAGCCCCCCGGCCGTGCCAAAGCCAACGCCAAGTGAAACCTGCACTAGGACGTGCGTGAATGACGTATCTTTGGGTTTGTTTGTCGTCTTTATTTTGGGTTTTGGTTTTTTTGATTTTTTTTTTTAATATAAATATTCTGGTTTTGTATTTTTGTATATTTTAATCTTTAAGAAAAGGAAAAAAAAAGAGAGAGAGAGAAAGGACATAATTCCTGCAACTTATTCTCAGGTATTCGAGCAATCTCAGGGATAAAATGCCTCTGTAGCCCAGTGCTGGACAGAGAGGAAGGTTTTTTTCTAACAGCACAAAGACGTGACGAAGTTTGTATTGGAAGTGTAGATCTACCTCACTGGATGTTCGCCAGGTGGACTGATGTGTTGTCGAGCTTTTCAGTTGTGTTTTTTGGTATGTTTGGGATTTGTTTTCTTTTTAACTGTATTTTAATAGAGTCTTTTTCCCTTCCCCATGGACTGAGGAGGAATTGGGGTCTGTAGGTCCATGTGCGGGGACAGAGAAGCCAGGCAGTGCCATGGGGCAGGGAACAGCTGCTAGAGCCCGTGTTGGCTCCCCAACTCCAGAGTTTCTCCCAGCCTGGTGGATTTTGAGGGCTGTCCTCCATTTCTCTCTCCTGTTTACGCTCACACGTCCCCTCCCCACCATCCTGATGGGAACGCTCCAGTCCGCCCCGTGCCCGAGCCCTCCCGTTGCCCACGGGCTGGGACGTCGCACAGGCTCCCAGCAGGCTGGTGCCGTGTGGCTGGGGGTGGAAAGCCAGGATGGGGCTCCCAGCCCATTCAGGGGGACAGGACAAGAGCTGACAGTGGCCGGGGAGGTCATTGGGAGACTGAGGGTTATCCTCAGTCCCCTGCCCGTGCTCACTCTCGAGCAGAAAGCTGGCTGGCTGCCTGTGACCTCCTGCGACGAAGGACCTGGTGCCAAGGTGGACCCAAGTCCAAGGAAGGTGCAGCTGCTCCATCTTTCTTCTCCCTTCCCGGCTTCCCCCAAATGCCGGCTCATGATGACCAAGGGAAAATTCTGGATCCCTGGTTTTGGGGCATTAACACTCCACTTCGCAGCCCAGGGCTGGCTGGAGCCTTCCCAGGGAGGGCGTCTTGGGACATGGGCACGGTTTCTGCTGTTCTTTAGGTAGCGATAGGTTTAGATGTAGAGCAGGGCTGGAGCAGACGGGCAGCACCTACTCCACCTTCGCTGGCGGGGGTCACCGGGGGGGGGATTTGCTGAGGTTGCTGGAGCCTGGTGACCCCTCCGAGGCTTCGCTCTGCCCTGTGGCACGCGGGCACCGGTGGGGATGGAGAGCGGCTCCCCGGCAGCTCTCCTCCCCT